ACAACTTCTATTCAACGAAAGGAGACTGCGACCACACAAAAGGCCATACCATCTTGGTCTTTATACCTTCAATCTAGGACCAGGTTTTTATTCGAGAAGTAATGGTAGTCTCGAAAACTACTTAAACCCAAAATAAGTAGCGTTGTCGATTTTAATGGTGTACACATGTTCGCCTAAAAACTGTGATTACCCTATTTTGTTCAAGGTGATGGAAGACCGTTTGCTAAATTTCCCATAATGCTCTCACTGAATTCCACATAGCCTGGATGCGAATAACTTCAGGCGGTAAGGCTGTGTGAAATTCAATGGAGACATGAGGCCTACTTATATGAATGTGGGAAAATTCAGCAATTGGTCTTTTATCACCTTAAACGCAATAAGATAAGCAAGTTTCTTATTCAGTCTATACTGGCGGTCTCAAAGACATACCTATGAACGATATGATGTTTGCTTAATCGATACTCCCGTTAAAAAGATGTGAATTGGGACGACATGGTGGGGTAGACTTATGTGATTATGGGTAGAACTCAACTGTCGCTTCTCAGCTCACCTAAAGTGATCTGGGGTGAGCTCTAAAACAATGATTAGTGATAGTCTTGAAGCATGCTTATAATGAATATGAATAAAATGTCACTCCACGATGGACTTATCCTGTACCCGGCTGCCTCTGTCTCTTAAAAATACCTATGAATTCGGTAAGGGCTAGAATGTGTATTGCTTTGTCGCCGCAGAGATACGAATGTTGCTGATCAAATGAATGCGTTTGATACAGACTCAAGTGGCCAGTTTAGCGTAATCCCGCCATCCCGCCAGTCTGGTCTGCCAGAGGGCTCCAAATTCCTCCCACCGAAGAGACCTTATAGGAATATACCCATGCATTATGCATGCCAGGCCGGCCTAGACCTTCTAACCTCGCGTGTCCGACTGCAGAACTGCGGCTCGATCCTAACCTTCGCTTTTTATCTTCCATCTCTCCGACAGGCAGCAACGTCATTAATTATACAAACTGAGTTCCATTTTGACCGATTTATGTGGAGATGTGCTGATAATGCCAACAGGGTCACTTTCTAGCTGACCCGCCATACACCCAGAGGTCATCTTCAAGCGCGTAGTCAGGCGCAGGCACCGTTGCCAGGCCTTCACTTGCAGTTCGTTCACGGCCCCATACTTCATGAGAAGTATGCGACAGTCTGTCTTGACTACAAGCATACCAAGTGACCGGGGTCCTGTCTGCTTGTCCGACTGGGTCGAGATAACTCAGAGGCCTGTCGCCCGTGTCCGAAGCCAAGCCAATGGGGGTCGGCTTGCTCTTGAGTTCAGTCCAGCTCTACTCGAGAAGACCAGCGTTAAGGGGCAATCGGGCCGGTGAGTCGTTCACTTGACGGAGGCTTCATCAAGATAAGCATTTATTTTCTCATTTCCTTAATCCTCATACCAAAGTATACTCAGCAAAACAGTTTGCTCAGCTCATAGTTGGTGGCATCCCATTTGCTCATGTAATCATGTAGATTTTGAGTCACGCACAATAAATTCTACTTAAGACTAGCAGATCTGTTTGCACTACGTACGGCGATTTGCGAAGTGTTTGTAGCAAACATAACTTGAATAGCAACTGAATTCACACTATTTCGTTGAGATGTGAAAAACTGGTAGTTGAATTTTTCCACTATCATATGATAAGACCATACGTTTCCATTGAATTTCACATTAACTTGTTTTTCCAAAAGGCATTCTCACTCAGAGAGAACTACATTCTTGAGAAGGTATCATCAGCAAATATCTTTCGGGAAGCAAAATTGATGCGAAGTAAAGTTGGGTTTTGAGGAATCTCTTGTTTCATAATTGTTGAGCTTACCTCCATTTCCAGGGAAAGTTTTGGGTGAAAAGATTCGGAGTTCAGTTCCACCAGA